GAGCACTTACAAGAGTAAAATTCCCCAAGAACGAAGCAGCGTGCTCCTTCGCATTTGATGCATGCAAAAGACTGTACTGCAAGTGTTCTTGCAAACAAAAGAAAGTTCAGAGCCCTAAAATCACACAAAAGGAAACACAGTTATCAAGGGAACTTTTCCAAAGCTTATGCAAGCCCTGTTTTTCAGGATCAATAGGAATTCTCATTCCATGTGTCTGTCCAAAGAAGTGCAATAACTGATGGCCATAAAATTAATTCCAGCCAGTTATCACCATGAAAACACTTGCTGCTGCTTGTGAAGTATGCAACCTCATGAACAACAGGATGGAACAGATCTCTACAATGTGAACTCTGCTTTGAGCACAGAAACTTACAGCCGTACAATTAACACCTAATGAAAACTCAAAGCCAGTCATCCACTGCATGTATACCATGAAAGCTGTTCTGAAGATAACAAAAGTTCTGCAGCACCCTTGCAAAACTGTTATTTACATACCCAGGTACAGGGAGCTGTAGCAGCTGAAAATCTATACCACCAGAACACTGATCAAGAAGAATATGGCGTGACACCTTACTTTGATGAAAGTTGCGACGAGAACTATGAAACATGTAGCTAGAGTCTTTGAAATAATTCACAGTACATTTAACATTGGAAGGAAAACACATACTCATTTGAAACATTTGCAACAATGGTATATTTTTTTTAATGTATAAAAAGTTATTTTGATACATTACATGTAAAGCTTAAAAGGGTTATGAAAAAATTTAAATTTAAAATTTATCACTGCCAGATAGGAGGGAGCCATCACTGAAGATGATGTACTGTACAGAGTACCATTGTAGCTTATCACTTGGGGAACACTATGGGATCTAAACAAGATCTACAGACATAGAAGTCTTCTTTTACACAACACAATTTTATATGGCAGCGTATTACCCATTTCATTTTCTGTTTTTTTGGCCTTGGTAAAAAAATAATTAATTTAGGTTAAACAAGATGGCAAAAAAATGGCAGGTTTTTACAGTGATACTGCAGGAGGTAGAGATAATCTCTGAAAGCAAAAAAAAAAGGAATAAAATACTTTTGTATGTTAGTGAGTAAATAACCATTGATTGGCCTGAGTTAGAAGGAAATTTTTCAAAAAGCAGACTATTCTGAATTGTCTAAAGAAGTTTGTATTTACTTTTTGAATGTTTATGGTGGTCAGGCCTAACATAAGCCACTGTAACTACAGCAATCCTTACTGTCCCTTATGTACCCAAAGCAATGAGAAAGAGGGGTAAAACATACAGAAGAAGTAAACTTAACAGTGGTAACTGATTAATGTGTTTTCTCACATACAGATCTCTAAACTACAGAACACAATTTTATACCCTTCTGAATACGAAAGTGAGTCAAACATTCTTTTCCTCCAGAAGCATAAAACCACCATCATGGCACTGCAATGGATCTAATAAGAATTGTGACAATCTGCCCAACTCCTCATCTACTGCACTAACTACCAAAGTGTGGGGTTACACATTATCTGACCACAAGTAAACCTTTAAAGTACAAAAATTATGAATAAATATACATTTTAAGAACATACTTTCTCTTCAAGTAAAGCATTTCTTTAAATCTCACTGAAAATGAAAAAAAAATTAGTCCCACCAAGGTTTGCAATATTACAAAACATTCATCTGTTGAAGTATATCCTAGCATCAGGGTATACGTCAGGCTCAGAATTTTAGATTTCTTCATTCGTTTTCCTTCTACGTCTGTTCTCAAAGCAGATAAGTACTGAAAACCAGAAAGGATTCTTAAACAAGACATGCTAAAAAAATTAAGATTCAGACAACTATGTTTAAAGTCAAATGACACAAGGAAAATGTAGTCACTCATGTGCAGTGACAAGGACTTTTTGCTATCTCAAGTGTGTTTCTACAAAATGTTGCAGTTGGGCAGCTCTTAATTCATAAAATAACCAGGAGTTTCTATTTTTCAAAAAAAAAGTGATCCATCTGAAATGGATACAAATGGTATTAAGAGCTTCATAGGATATACAGCTTCAGGACATTTTATCTTACGCCATAAGCCTGCAATTCAGTGCACACAAAAATTGGTACGAAAGTGACTTTCTGACAGTGCTTCCTACAGGACACAGTGCACTGCCTTGGAAATGCGAGAACTGCCACAGGAGACTGGAGGGATACGGGAGTTTTCTGCAATCAGAAGCAGTACATCCTCAGTGGGAGGATGAAGGGAAAGGAAGAATTGCGCTCGATTGAGAAAAGGACAGGAAACAAAACAGCATGGATTAATGCTAACATACACGCAAACAATTGCAGCAAGATTAACTAGGGAAAACAGGCGTGGAATCTAAACTTCATACAACAATACTGGTACCGTGACCAATGGGTTGAAAACCAAAAAAGATAACATTAAAAATCCAGAAATAAGCAGGCAGAAAAACAACCACACACACCCCCACCCCCCCCAAACATTAGGGTTTAAAATACATTGTGGAAAACAACTTGGACTGATGAATCTACTTTGAAACTAGTATTCAACCTATTTCAGAAAATCAGTTCCCATAGTTACCATAAGCTGCATTTCCAAGGTTTAATGTTGACCTAAAGCAGTTTCTTCTAAATCTTTCACACAGGAAGACTTTTCAAAAGACCTGAAATATAGGAGCTTCTAGCCTAAGCTCTAAAGTGACTTTATAGTTGTCAAAACACAGGAAATATTACTTTTTTTTTTTTTTTTTTTAACAAAACCATTCACTCCCTGAAAATAATCATTGTATTAAAGAGAGAGCATACATTCCCAAACCCCTACTTGATTCTGTCAGTAGCTGTTATCACAGTAAAAATCCCAAACACTAGAGAGGAAGACAGGATATGAGTCCCAAACACACATAAAGCACACTCACATTAAGGTAACCGGCTGTTCATTCTTCGAGTATCTACATTGGCAAGTGTCCTTCCAGTAACAAGCTAGCAGTTAATTTCTTAGCTAAACAAACACAGTGGTAATGATCAACCAGAAATTACGTGCATTTTTCCTGTTTTGTCTAGATCTGACCAAATGTAATCAGCTTGTAATTATGGTAAGTAGTTTGCTTAGCATTCTATTTATAAAACTGATTAGATGCTGCTAAGCAGAGCAGGCAACAGTTTAACACTTTATATTGATGTTGAAAGCAGAGGCTAGGGGAAGGGGAGAGGGAGTAAGGACAGCAGAGAGAACAAACACAACTCAGAAAACTTCACAAAGATTATTATGTTTGAGGGGGTACAAATCTGTTGCTTTATGCACATTTTAAATTTGTGTGTTATTTGGTTAATAGCACATATTTAGAATTTTGGAATTATTACTATTAAATATTTTATTGCTTAAATAGGACTGAAGAAGTGAATATTCAGCCATATTGAGTACTGCTGATTCTTCCTGGAGGAAGAGAAAATGGTGTTGACCTGGCTTGGGAAAGAGAAAACACAGGTTGCAGGAAAATGACAAGAGGCCCTGGCCTGACGTGAAACTAACTGAACAGGATGTGAAAAACTAAAAGACATAACACCAGAAATTGCTAGATGTGACAGATAATGTAGTAAGATGCCCACAAAAGCACCACGAGGGATGGTTGGATTTCACAGATGGTTAAAGGCAAGAAAGAGAGCCAAACTTCACATAAAATTGAAAGGGGACCTTTAAGGTATTGGGAACCTTCTGGGAGGCAGAACTTGCAATACCAACAGTACTTCAGTAACTGTAACTGTAACACCATAGAAGGCCAAGATTCCCTAGATAATGGTATAAGAAATACCAAATCTGAATGGCAAAACCAGGACCAATAAGGAAACAGTAATTAGGGGTGGATTGTTTATTTGGGAGGAGACTGACTGGAGAGGGGAAAAAAAAAAAAAAAAAAAAAAAAGAGCTACAAGGATGGTAAAAAAGGGTCAAGAAAGAGAAAAACGGATAAGCTATGCAAAATGAAAATGTGGCCAGTGCTGTTTGGCACTGTTCTGCCCTGGATCACCACATTCACAAACCAAACCAGTTGTTCTGACCATACCACATGAGTCAAACTTGCTTCCACAACCAAGCAAAGCGAGGAGGGTGCCAGGGTGCTTCCCCTGGCTAACAGGAGGACACCTGGTTGGACAGATCAGGTGACTTACTTATCCCCTTGTCAGTGCTCGTGCCCTGTCTGTCAGCATCCTCATCTACCCACCACTCCCTAACACAGGCTGTCAGACACAGTCTTTGACAAATTGTTTCAATTTAACTCCTCTTTTCCTCATTTATAACACGCACTTCATACTGCTTTTCTTATCTCTTTCAGTAAGGTTGCTTTTGGCACTCAGTAACAAAACCAGGAAAGTCAACAGTTTAAGTTATTTATGCTCTTAATATTCACCTCTTGCTACTTTATCTTTTAGGTAAACATGAAACTCAAGAGTTGGAGCTTCCGACTTTCCACACATACTGCTACAAGATGAACTTTGATTCCAAGTAGTAATATCCTGCACTGTAAGTAATGCCCCCAAGTAAGAGTATGGCAGGAGATTAATACCTTTCACGTAGAGTGAAAGGTACTCATTGTATAGGATAGGATACAGCTGAAAGGAAGACAGAGGACAATACAGTTCCTGACTTTACAGGTACATGGAGAAAGAGAGAAATCCAAAAAACAGGGCAAGGGATTAAAAGAAACAATTTATCAGTGCTTATTAACAATAGCCCTTACGCCAACTGTTTGTAGAGAATAATAAGCACTTCATCTTAACAACAACGTAGTGATACTTTTCCAAACACGTACACATTCTTTGTTCATCACCAAGAGTTACACAGACATTCAATGAATTTATTACAAATTTGCAACTTTCTGACAAAGAGTACTGTTTCTTGAAAAGATGAAAATAACCGGGATTATATTATATACAGGGGGGGGAATAAACACAAAAGGCTTATATTTTATGCTAATTTATATTTATAGCAATTGTTTTATTTACCTTTTTGTTTTCTTGTAGTTTTCCAGCTGTAATGTCTGCATACACTTGTATCTTTCCAACTCACACTGTTCACATAGGTCCTCAAGACACAACAGATGATTCTCCATTTCCTCAAAGTTTGCCTCTAGTTGGGCTACAAGAAAGACTTATATGAATATCAAATTGTATCAATAGATGGAACGACTCACCTGAACAGTAACAGGAATCCATAACGGTACATAATTAACATGGTAATAATAACAGATATATAAACAGCTCAGAAAGGTAAACAAATCTCAGTCCATATCACGTAGTAAAAAGTGACAGCAGAGACACATTAAGGGAGATCTATCTGAGATTCCCTTTGTAGCAAGATGCTGAACCATTTTATTTGCCCCGGGATCTTGGTCTCACAGCCTTGTGGTCTATACTTCAGGAAAACAAGCATCCAGAACTCATAATTTAATTGTGTTTCTTGGGCACAATGTCAAGTTTAGCCCTTCCTGCCCGATACCAACCTGAGGAATAAAGCCGTGCTGACCAAAAATAGTACTAATCTTAAATTACTGAAATGAAGCAAAAGCAAAGCACACTGGGAGAATTTTAACTTTTACATGACTTACTGATAACAAAAGAATACAGACTTCCAAAGTTTAGTCTGAAGACGGACCCTTTACTGAGGCAAATCTCCAGATTTAGCTATTTTACATACTCACGCACTTAAAACCCACACAAAACATCTTAATCTTCTCTTTAACCATAACTGCTCAGAGTCTCAAAATTTTGAGATCATGCCCATGAAAAGCCTGGAGAAACCTCATCTTATCTCAGACCTCACCCTGTTTTGAGTAGCAACTTGGACTAGAGAACTCCTGAGGTCCCTTCTGACCTCAATTATCCCATGAACTACACAGGCGATGGAAAGAAATAGCAGAAAACCCAAAGCAACTCTCAAGTTTTGGCAAATGGCTGTTTCACCTTTGCCTGTAACAGATAGAAGCAATCTTCATAAAGCAAGACAATAACTATTAAGTTCAAGGCAGAAAAAAGTGATTTAATGTGCTCTGGATGCACAAAAGGAGGAAGCAGCAAGCTGAAGGCACCAGTCAAGTTTTCAGTTCTGGTTTGGCCATTTTATTTGGAGCCCACCTTAGAGTATACATATTTTCAATTTTCTTAGCAATTAGTCAATTAGAAATTGCTATCCTAGTGGTCCTTTGAAAAAAGCAAAAGTTAAGACCTCATAAACAAATTTCCTAGCATGCCTATTCATATGTTCAGCTCTAATTAGTAAGATTATTTTAGCCCCTAACAAGGTACTGCTCCACAGCAGTCAGAAAGGGAAACATGAATAATCAGCAAAGAGCTCCTTAAATTATTTATCTGTATACAGATCACTTGGAGGGGGGGAAACAAAAAAGCAAATAAGTTTGAGGGAAATAGAAAAAAATGTTTTCAGCTCTACAGATTGTGATGTGGAACATGCATTGTTTACCACATACTCAACTTTCTCTCACAAAATCCAGATGTATTCAAAGGGCAATGTCACAACTACAATTACAAGTGGCGGTCCTTTTTTGCTTAAGAAATGGACTTTTCTGAGTGCATTAAAATCCAAATGTCTGTATTATGCTAACTTGCTTTTCAGAATGATTGCTCACTCACTAATTTGCAAAATTCACAAACACAGCAGGGCTCAAGATAATTTAGTAAGGTACCTATCAACCACAGTTTTTTCCACTGAAAAAAACCCACCACCTGCTTTGCTGTACTTGCTATTGAAATAATATTAAAAGACAACAACAAAGAACAGGAAAATAAAGAGGATGAAGAGAAGTGAATTCTAGAGGGCAACTAATTCCTAGCACCAGCATTTGAGCAGCATCTAGAGGGAATTGCAGGAAACACCATGCTCCTGAAAAACAGGAATGAACACTTTAAGATGTCTCCAGAATTCAATAATACCCCTTTACTTGAACACAGGTTTCAGAATTTTTCCTTTCTGACATGAAAGAAAACTTAGTTGCTTTTCACAAAAAAGGTTGAAGACTAGCTCTATAGCCATAGCATCAGCCACGGTTGTGAATTAACATCTCTCCTCCCTAAATGAGAATGTATGCACTGTGCATCAAAGGAAGTTCCAAACAAAGCTACAATTTAATCAATTTGAAACTTGAGCCATAATGTTTTGAACAGCTCTTATCTATATTCACAGATAAATAAGCTTATACTTTTAAAAAGGCATTTAGCAAAAATATGAAATCTAGAAATTCATTCCCAGTTAATAGTTCACAGTGGCACCTAGAATGAATCTTCCCCAGAAAGCCAGCTAACATTCTGAAGAATACCTGCAAGACCACCACTTCTTTTCCGGCTCTTCAAGAAATCCTCCAACCAAGTGGTCAGGCAACAGTCACCATCTCACTCTGAAACAGCACTGCTATGAAGGAGAAAAACATCTCCTCCTTTTAATATTTTTAAGGAGGCTGGCATTGTACCTTTGGATTAAGATTTTTCCTGTATAGTAGTACTTGCAAAGTACTAGTAGAAATCGTATTTTTTATTAGATAGCTGGAAAAATAACTTGTCTTCAAGTGACCATTCCAATTTGGCCTGTATTTCTTACACTACCACAGATATAACACTATCAACTTTTACTTTTTAATTTTTTTAACATATGTTAATATTTGATCAGATGACATTAGATTGAATTATCTTCCATCAGTGTATGCTGTTTAGCAGCTACTCCAGTATTAAAGTGTTTATCTAGAACTCAAGAATTACAAAACCCAATTGTGTTCCTGAAAACACTTTCTTTCTAAAGTTTAGCTAATTTAAATGTACCTCATAAAATTTCTTCTAACTGAAACCTACATAACATGTGGTTCCACAGTAGTACAAAAATTGTTAGAAAAGCTAAGTGACAGTTGTATATCAGAAAATATTATGGTTTTCAATTTTTCCTACTATAACTTTAAATGCAGCCTTCCTGCACTATCCCAGACACCAAAACAAAAGCAGCCACCAAGGAGTACGAGAGAAATTTTTACAGAGTTAATTTGTATTCTGCCAAGAAGCCAAAAAGGAAGAAAAAAAAAAGGATGGAAACAATTACATCAAAGAAATTCTCTGTACCTCTACGTCAGACAGGGACACAGATTAGTAAGCTTAAAGTAAAATGAGCAGTGAAAGATATATATACACACAGGAAGAGCTCAATTCAGCTGCAACGCTTGAAAAAAAAATCTTTACATAATTACAGTTCTACTAACTAATTTTGATTTGTTTTTAAAGAAAAGATCTTAAACCCAGATAGTATCATACCATCCACATGAAGCTAAAGTAACTTCTTCGCTGAAACTACATAGCAAGTATACTAGGATATTTTTCCTTCTGTATTCAAGCCAGAGACATTTCCAAGTTTACACCACCAAACTATGCCTTTTATATATATAAACCTCGACCTTACACAACGACCGTCTCCACTGAAGCATTCTGTCCTGGAGCCTATGAAAGGGAAAAACTCCCTGTTGAATACAGGAGTCATTACACTACATTATTCAAATTCCCTGGTTTTACATACATCCCTCCCAATACTTCCCCTGATTTTCTCAGTAAAAGATAAATGCCGTTTCATCACAAATGATGAAACTCACAAAAGCAAGAAAAGTATGTCGTTTTTAACCGACTAGTCAACCAGTTAGAAAAACTGTTTTAGTTAATAAATAAAACATTATTTTCCTTAAACATTTTCCCAACTGCAAATCATTACTCTTTTACAGTAAAAGTTTTTACAGCTCTCCTAACTTTAAAAATAATTTTAAAATCAAAAGAAACCACTAAAAACTACAGTCTTCTAATGGATTATGTGTTCTAGATTTCTGCATTACAAAACATGTATCCAGCTCTTTTTCAAGAGCTATCAACTCTAGATAGATGCTAATGAAAAGGAAACTGTCATTTAAGTAACAAAACAATTCAGAAGTCCTAATTCAAATGTCAGCTCTGTGAAAAATCTTAATATATTGCCTGGTCTTAAATTCCCTTTTACTTGACCAATATCTACTAGTATTTAAATCTTAACACAAGCCACAATTAATAAATAGATAACAGCAGACTAATGACTTACCTTCGCCAAAGACACTCATGTCTTGCCCAAAGAAGTAAGTCTATGGACTGTTACTCACTATTTCCTCCTTAAATGTGCTGCTTTAGAGGCTGTCTACAAACTGATGAAACGAACAAAACCTAAATTCTATAATTTCAGAACACAAGATGTTGCTGGAAGTATATTGCATTATTCCAATTGGAAAAATCTTTGGCATTTTTATCAAAAAATTAAAAAATAAGTATGCTTCATTAAAACATACTTTTTTGCTGCAATACAAGTACCCAAAATACGGGGTATTAAGTTCTTAAAGTAGTTCAAACGTTACCAAAACCAAAATCTTGTATTTAATGAAAAAGATATTATAATCAACCACAATCTTCTATTTCGCAAGTTTTACTACATTTCCTTAATATCTGAAGGGGCCATTAAGAAGACTTTAATACCACTTCTGGAACAAAGGATCCATGGCCTTTTTTTTTTTTTTCTTTTCTGCAAAATACTTGTGCTTCTCTGAACAAACTGGATTGAATTTGCAAAGCTAGAAAATGGCAACTTTCATACTTGACACAATCTGAAAATAAAGCATCCTTCTGCTCAAGATATAAACAAGAATACCTCCCCCAAGCAGTGCAAAAAGTTTCTGTTTCCCTAATGGATTTACACACTCATCTTACCCATACTTAGAAAAAAATATTTATTAAAGATTACGAAGCAATGGCTTTTATCTCTGTGAATATATACCCAGCCTTATTTTCTTCCCAGTATCACCAGTCTAAATATTTTCACCCTACATTGTATCTGTCATTTATGTTCATGGCCAGCCTTTCTGAAACCAATATCAAGTTGATGCTTAACATTAGAGGTTTAAAAAACAAAAAAAAATGTAATGAAAATTTGGTTTGGATCAAGGTTTGTGCATGTTCATTTGCTGAAATCAAAACAGGTATTTGAGCAAAATGTCCTTGCTCAAACATGAGCTGCATGTCATATTAAGACAAGTACGTCAGATATTGGCAAGCAGACATTTTCTAAATCTCAAAAATTGGCTTAAGTGATGATTCAAATTCTGGACTTTGAAAGGGCAATAACTGTCCTCTTCACTTTTACATGGGAGCAATTTTTTCTTCAGTGTTTTCAACAGCTACAAGACACTGCGTAATACAGTAAATTTACCAAACGAAGACACAGCTTTTTACTTGAAATGAGGGATGACTGATAATGTGAGTACCTAAATTAAAGGACTTTATTTATAAAAGTGCTAATGAAAATATGTCTTTGAAACACAGCAAAAGCTGAAGAATCGGTACATGACTCGTGCCAACTTTAAGAAGGTAACTAAAAAGACTCATTTCCATTAACTGAAATTTCTTTTATCAAAAGCAGCCAGGGTTCCCTATCTAGCTACTTTCAAAATAAAAGCATTAATATATATAGTAGAAGCGTATCATTTCATAACACAGACCTATCGCTTTCCTGAAACAATGAAGATTAGCCAAATTACATCTTGGATACACAATGCAGGACACGGAAGTTCATAATTATTTTTTGTGGTTTTTTTTTTCCCCAGACTGTTTCACTAGTATCTAAAATTCACACAATATTAATCATCTCTTAGAAAAGTGAATACACTTTACATTTATAAAAAGCAGATTGTTCAGAGTTATAAAAACAGTGAGCAGAATATCACAGCAAATTTCTGTTAAATCACTTCCAGCCGTGTAGATGTTGAATTCGGTACAGATTATAACTTTCTCTTCAAGTAGACTCTATAAAACCAATTAAAAAAAAACTCACAGCGGTTAGGAGGAACTAACAAAAATCTCCAGGTGAATTACTTGAAATGTGACACAATGTGAGGCTAGAAGATTTGGTTCAAATCTCACAACCTTAGCAGTAGACTTCAAATTTCCTTAGCTTCCCTAAGCAGACTGGTTAATGCTTCCTTAAATCCTGCTTCTACAGTAACAAAGATGTTCTAGAGACAGTGAGCCTTCCCCAAGTAATTCTACAATCAGAGTGAGATTAATTCTGGTTCATAAAACTATAGTGTTAGGAATGGGAAGGTAACCCCAGTGCATCAGGATTTATAGCATCTGCCATTATGAACTACAAAGAAAATTCCTCTAGGTTTTATTATATTGTTTATCTTTGGTCTACCAGTGGACTGCATCATTTTGTGCGTGATATTAAAATCAGTATTTAAATGAATTACTGTTTGAATTGATATTTCCTTAGAAAATAATTGAGCTTTCCAAAAAGCCAACATTAAATAGCTACCACACATGATAAAACCTTACTAAATAAGGTGGTATAAAAAAATTGTAATAAAAATTAAATATATTCCTTGGTTCAGAAAGAAATAGCAAAGTTATTCCCAGCCTACCTAGGAACAAAAGCAAATTTGTGCGTATCCACTGACCATAGAAGAATGAGAAATCAGCCTCTGAACATAGAAAAGAACTCTCCTTTTCTTGAAATCAGATGCCAGCACACAAATCCAGCCCACCTCACAAAAAACAAGAGCTACAATTACATGAAGAATTTCTGCATACTTCCCAGCTGGTGGAGGAATAGTGCAGGCAGAGTCCCTGGAGAACTCAGCTACTAAAGGTCATGCATAGACAACAGCTTTTTCAAAACTTTAATTTGATGCAACTTGAACAGATTTACATGGAGGCAGCGAGGGGCCTACTGCTGCCAGAAAGGCTTGCTACTTGTCAAACGCTGCATCCCCGTTTCAAGGCTCAGGAACACTAGAGCTTTTCAGAGACTAAGAGGCCAGAACATTTTTTTCTAATTTCATTTGCAACAGCGGATCAACTGTTTTGTATGAGAGGCTTCCAGAAGTAGTGCACTAAAGGATTCATCTTTTCATCTTTCAAATTAAATGGTCAGGTTAACATTTGCTAAAGTTCTAAAAACTGGAACCCAAAGTTCACATGTAACAAACATGAGGTATTTTTTTAAGAACTATTGTTTTATAACAGAAAGGATGTGTTTGAGAAGCAAAATTAAATTTTATAATTGCAAAGTTTGCAACAGCTGAACTTCAGTCTAATCCTCTGTACTGACTTGAATGCCTGTTATGTTTATAAAACCTTACCTAGGCTTGCTGTGAGGCATTCCAGATCTGCTAAAAACCCAGGTACTTGTTGAAGCTGATCCTGTAGTTCCACCAGACTGTTCCTTTTCTTCTCCCAGTGTGCAGAAAGCATCACAACTTCACTATCCACCAGCTGAAACAAACAGGTTCTTTCGTTTACTTGCAAATTTATCAACCTATTTACCAGCATCTTGACTAATTTTAAGAATTCGTGCATCTGCAAGCATAAGGTCAGCACAGCAATCATATAGCACTGTCACTTGTGTACTCTCAAGTAAGTATTAAACATGGTCAAGAAAGCCCCTGTAGTATGAAACAGTTATATTAAAATGCATTGATCAAAACATGATAAAAAGTTATTTTGCAACATACTAATCAATGTAGGAAATACTTTATGAATACACTCCTTAAAAGTCTTATTTATGTAAGTCAGATTCCATGAAAAACAGTCAGATCAGGAGATCTTAGGTAGCAAATGTTTCCCTTATATATGGCACTTAAGATGATTCAATAATAGTTTCCCTCCTCTTAGTTCCATTACCCATTCTTCCTTTTGCACACAACAGCAGCCCATGGCTATATCTGCATTCTAGATTCCTCATGGTTTGCAGAATTTAGTTGCAGAAACAGAAAAAACCTGAGCAGTGGGCAAAAGCAGTTCTTAATGATTTACAGTTCTACCCACTTCAAACAGATACTTCCAGAAGAATGACAACTTCCTCCATTTCCAAATTCCTCTGGCTACCTTAAAAAAGCCACCCTGTTTTACCAGACAAGGTCTGAAAACTTACTCCAAAGGCCAGTGAGTAATGAAACACTTCAGAAGACCAACACCCTTATTTAAATAAAGCCAAGTCTATTTTTGAGAATGAAATATGGGCTTTATATCAGTTAAACAGTGAAGAAAACTGTCTACATTTAGCCTGTATCCAGGGCTAAACTGTAACAGTCGCTCTATCACTCAATAACCCCTTACCAGCCAGGAAGGGGAATGAGGAAAAAGGAGAGCAGACCCACTCTTAAGGTGGAAGTGAGAACAGATTTTAATGAGATAACACCAACATCACAGACATATACAGAGTTATCCTCAGCCCAATGAACATCCAGTCCTCAGCAGCAAGGAAAAGCCAGAGGAGGAGCAGGAGGAACCCCAGGAGGAATCACACAGGACCCCTCTCTCCTCAGCAAACCTTCCCCCTTTATAATGACCATGACATTATGGGATGGGCTACATCTTTAACTAACTCAGGTCGGCTGCCCTGGCTGACTTGAGCCTGCCTAGCATGGCTGGGCTGTGATTCTTTCCCAGCCAAACCAGAACACAAACAAACAAAAAAACCCCACCACAAGATGGGGGCAAACACCAGAAAAACATTTAAAAACATTTCAGCCCAGAAATAGTTGAATGCAGCTAACACTGCAATAATCTAAAAGCAGTATTTTTAGGACAATTCTGTAGATGGAACTGGTAGTTAGCATCTATCATTTAACATACTAAGACTGTAGGCAGCAATTAAAGCTTGAAATTTACACTTTCTCTATTCAACATTTATAAAGACGACAGCAGGACTAGTTCATCTGCAACTGGACAGTGCCAGAAACAAAGTACCGGACAAGTGGACCTTTAGGTCTGACAGCACAATCAATCTCGTGTGCTTACACAATTCTTATTTTATTGAACCCCGTATTTTCTACTTTAATTAAAAAAAAAAAAAACAAAAAAACCACCAACCAAAAAAACCCACACAAGCAATACATGTTTCAGATTATCCAAAAAGTAAACATCTGAATTTCAGGGAAAGATTTCAAAGTCTTTCTGGAAGATTTTCATTCACATTTTCCCAAGCAGTCATGATATGTGAGATTGAGGTTACATTGGTTTTACATATATGAAACCTCACATTGTTTTCAGAACTACAATTTTTAAAGTAAACTATTGCCAAGTACTAATAAATGGTAAGCAAGTCATTTAAGAGATCTCCTAAAAAAATCATCATGAGCAGTAAAGCACACAAAGCTGGCAGAGAGAATTTAATCTCTAATAACAGAATGTTTTTACTGGAACAGGTGGAAAAGGTGGGCCATGCCATCAGGCAAGAGAAATAAGAACATAAGGTAATACCTTTCTTACCTCTTCAAAATACATTAAGCAGTGAGGTTTTTATCCATTGGAAAAAGGTACAGAGAAGCCTCCTAAGGAAACCAGAAGAGTCAGGGAGGATGCAGCTGGCCAAAGTGAAGATTTCAGCCAAGATAGAGAACTCTACAGCTCAGTCCTGATCTACATCATGGCCACCCAGCTTACACTGTCTGTCCCTTAAACAGGGTTTGAAATGGAAAGTTTGGTGTGGACCTCCAGAACAGCAGAGCAATGCATTGGTAGCACTTAATGGAAGTTTTCTTTCTTTCTGTCAAATAATATCTTAAAACCACAGTAAAAAACAATGCAACTTGGCGGTTTTCCCAAGCAGCAGTAGAGAGCATCACTTTTTTATTATACTGGTTTTACTGGATCTGTCAGGGACAGAGTTAATTTTCTTCAATAGCAGCCCATATGGTGCTGTGCCTTAGATTTCTGATCAAAACAGTGTTGATAACACACCAATGTTTTGGATATTGCTGAACAACGCTTGCACAGTGTCAAGGCTTTCTCTCTTCCCCACTCGTTGCCACCTCTCCTGCAGTGAGTAAGCTGGGGGCGGGCAAGAAGTTGGGAGGGGACATAGTCAGAACAGTTGATCATTGGCCAAGGGGATATTTCATACCACATAACATCATGCTCAACAATAAAAACTACGGTCTAGCGTTTGGTCTTCCGGTGTAACCATTTCTTTCAGACTAGCTGGGCATTGGTCTGCTTGTGGGAGGTTGCTAGTGACTGTTCTGCCTCCGTCCTTCAATTATTAAACTGCCTTTATCATGAACCATGAGTTTTCTCATTTTTGTTCTTCTTGTTCTATCCTCTGTCACACTGGTGGGGGAGAGAAAAAGGCTGTGCAGGTGCCTACCTAGTGGTCAGGGTCAACGCAGTATGCTGGTACTAAAAATTTTAGTTTAAAATTATTTACACATTTAAAAATATTTCCAGTGTGGCATTGTTATTTTTTTCTTACCTCTCCAGCTTCTGCACAATCTTTGGCTCCTTTGTGAAGGGCAGCCCAAGCATCTTCGTATCTGAAGAGAAGAAAGATAAATGACTATTATCACTGTGTTACCCTTACAAAAGGAGAGGATTTCCCGGATACCACTGCGCTTATATTTACAGGGACTACCAGAAATAACAATTTAAAATTTCTGGTATTTACTGTTCTACCAAGACAAATATACTGTAAGAAATAACTTCTTTCAAAGAAAAAGTGATTTATGTTTTTTAATCTGCTAGCTTACATTGAGAGCTAAACGGATGCAGCAATATTTATAAGACTACACACAAAAGTCTTAAGCACTACTTGGAGCCTAATTTCATTAAGAAAATTTAAAAAATTAACAAGACTGTAATCACACCCCACCCCACCCCCCAAAAAAAAGATAATAGTTTTGGGTTGAGGGGTTTTTTTTTTAAGATAAAAATACAAAGGAAATTTGTAATGCAGATAGCTTCTGTTACTCAGAAAAAAAGGTGATTAAAAACACATGGAATCCACTTTCTTTTCATGGCAATGACAGGCATACTGTCTCTATTATAACAGAATGATGTTATAAAACATCAAATTAAAACCACAGGCTGGGCCTCAGTGCTGGTCTCCTCCGTCCTTGTGCATTAGACCATGAACTAAAGTCATCTTTCAAATGTTGCTTTTCCTCCAGAACTCCTGTTTCCTTAACATGGCAGCACTTAAGGACTCTGCAAGCTTTAAACATATTTATAATTTGGCAACCACCCCCACTCTACTAACTGCAGAATGTCACAAAAAACCCTATTAGCAACACCTTGATTTTCTTAACCTAATAAAGTTATTTCTGAAGTTATAGGAAGCAGACACTAACAAAGAAATGGAAGGTCATACCTGCTCAGTAATTCCAGTCCAGCAGAAAACTCTGGCAAACACTGAACAGTTCTATAAAACAAATTGTAAATATACAGATGCTGTTAATTAATAGAAGGCTGTTATAAAAAAGTGGGCAAACAGATCTGCATTTGACAGATACCCTGAGCACAGAAATATTCCCTATTGTTCACTTCCACAAAAATTTTGTCAATTCTGGTTTAAAATGCATTACACTGTGTATCCTACAAGAATACTGCAAAGCTTGGGTTGTTTCTTTCCCCTTTGTTATTTTATGGTAGCCCATTCTTACTTCTTTTTGACTATGTCCATTAAAAACAACTTTTATGAGATAATTTCTTAGTACAGTTAACAAACACGCAGGATGAATGTTGTTTTAACTTAAAACAGTGAACAGAAACATTCTGAAAACAAGACTGCTACACAAGTTCTTACATCCCCCAATTAAGATACTGCAGTTAACATATTCTACATTAAAAATAAACACTAAGATGAAGAACCTTTTCCAGTTTAATGCTCTAATGATCTCCTGTTGGATGCATACATTTTCATTAATAACACCTTGAAACGTAAAGGCAACTTTTATTATAAGTTAAAGGAAATTAACAATGCAGCACTTTCAAGGAGTATTACGCAATGATCTTGATGTCATCCAAGATTTGCCTCTTGGAAGCTTACCAGAATAGACTGTTTTGCATTATCATCCAAATAACTGGAAAGGAAAAATCCAAATACCATACATGAAACCTTTTTTTCCTTCGACAAAGTGAAAAGTGATAGAATCAGTGAGGTGGGAAGGGACCTCAGACAGTCTTTAGCGCAACCTCCTGTTCAAAGCAGGACCAGCTATGGGATCAGACCAACTTGCTCAGGGCTGGCTCACATTCAGCTTGCTGTCTGCCCAGACCCCCTGGGTCTTTTTAGCAAAGCTGCTTCCCAGCTAGTCAGTCAGCTCCAGTCTGTATTGTTGCAGGGGGTACTTTCTTCCTAGGGAAAGCCTTTGGATTTGCACCTCTTGAATTTCATGAAGTACCTCTTGGCCCATATGGTCCTATGTGCTTTTATGGGTTGAGTTCCCCAAATTGATCTTCGTTCACTACTGGTCAGTCTTTTCCTTGAACCCCTTCACTAAGCACAGAGGACTGGGAGACCCTGTTTGTGAGGACTGAAGCAATGAAGGCATCGAGTACCTCAACAACATCTACATTTGCGGTCACTAAGCTATCCATCCCATTCATCACCAATCCCACGTTTTCTTTGTTCACCCTTTTACTACCAAGGCAGGGCTAGAAGCTCTTACTTCTTGACATCTCTTGTAAATGTAAATTCTAGGTGAGCTCTGGCTTTCTTAAGGCTATTCCTGCACGCCAAGGAAGTTCTGAAGAGGGTATCAAGACATTATCTCTGACACCGTCCCGAACTCTTCTTGACTCCATCCTACTGTGTTGTCCTTTCAGCAGATGTCAAGGAAGTTAAACGCTCCCTCAAGAATGGAGGTTTAATGATACAAAGAATTCCTCAAGTTGTTTAGAGAAGATACCATTCCCTCCCTGATAAGATGGTCAGTAACAAACTCCCATCTCAATACCACCCTTACTGGCATCTCCTCTGGTCCTGACCCACAAGCTCTCAGCCATCCTTACAATGAAGCTAAGCTATGTTTGTCCCAGAACTTCTATCAGCAAAGCAGAAGTCACCCTGGCATTCCTCTATTTGTGATAATCCAATTGGTTTGCACAGTGATTTTCTTAAAACGTGATGGATATTTACAGTACACCAGATGAACCATTATGGACTGGAAACATACAGAGAAGGCAGTTGCCTAAAATAGTGTTATTCAACCTTCACCCGTTTTTAGTTTAGTTTCTGTCTCTTGTCAACACAACCAGTCTTCTGTTAAAAAAACTTTTACATCCAAAACATTATGCTTCAGAACTTAATACAGGTTATTTCAGATGCCTTATTTTTCATTCAGGGCTTGTTTTAACACCAATTTGTGTCTACACACTGTGTTTTAGTAAGAACATGCTTTACACTAAAGCATATCTGAGCTTATTTGAAGAGGCAACATGCACAGATGTCATTTACAGGCATTAAACAGTCTTCCCTATAGTTTACACAGGTTGAAAGAATGAACAATATACTAAAATGCAAAGATAAAAAACTCCACAATTCTTAAAACTTCTTGAGATGGATAACTGAAGCATTCCATTATACATATATTTTCCACAATAAAAAGTGTTTTTACACTAAAAAAAATACTGAATTACAATTTTAGTAGATGAGATTCACAAAGATTGTAAACAATTACAGTGTACTGCAACCTGAATCTTGTATATATTCACATAATTTAAATAGTCATTTACAAATTGATTGATGGCTATCAGAAATTTTTCAGGCCTATCAACGAAGGTTCTATTAAGTAAAGTATTTCCTCAGTATTAGGGTTAAGCTTTTCTGATGTCAAAAGAATATTCTGTAAAATTACATGTAAATGTTCCTGTAGCTGGCTCATATATGTGAGCCACTTTCAAATTTTTCTTTAATGAAAGCATCCTAGATCAACACTATACATTAAGACATTCAGAAGTACCTCTGCCTGCTTTTTTTTGCTTCTCTTGATTTGTCACCCAAAGTCTTCAACCTATAAATCAAAACACAAAACCATCAGACATTTCCAACACCAAAACCAGAGAACAACTTGTTTGAACATATGTGTTAATTCCAAACTATCATAGTTACTTTTGTTTCAGCTTATTTCACGAATAAATCAAATTTCACTTAGTTTTGTGGAGGCTGTCATATAAAATTATTTCCAACGACATTGCTTCTAAATTATGAGTTTTTTCTACAAGTGCATCAAGCAATTGTGTATTAAAAGTTTAATGGGAGCTATATACCCAAGCCATCCAGCTCTTGACACTGTTTCCTTAGCAGACAGGTATTAAAAGATCTGCACAGAAATAACCAATCCAATCCTGAAGAACACCCTTTACAAAAACACGTACATGCCACGGAAAATCATGACAGTCATATAGACACATTTGTACCCACTAGCCATAAGCCTGCCAACACAAGACTAGCACAAGCACAACTTTTCTTCTGCCAACTATCAGAATCCCCAGCAGCATCACAATGGTTCGCTGCTACCGAGCATATCTGAGGCTTGTTTCACCTATGGCAAATTTCAATCTGACTGGTATCTTGCTTCTAAAAAACCAAAACCCAGCCAATCAACCAAGCCCAAAACCCCAACCAACACAAATGACCCCCCCCTGCAACTCTTTTCCACTCTCTACTCTTTTTTTCAGTCAACCCGTATATGCCAGCCAAGTCAGCAGGGCAGAGCGAGACCCCAAACCTTCTGCTATCCTCCGACCACACATATGATGGATGGCCTCAGCCTCTATGCCCTTTGGAGTTCCAGCTGTCCAGGACAGCAAGGGTTAGGAAGAAATAAAGCCACACAGACAGGAGCAAGATGGAAATGAGCCATGAGCTCCAAAAGTATCCTCCAGACATGACACAGAGATACATAATCCTGAGTGACCTAGCAACTGAGCGACATCCCTAAGATAAAGATATTCAGGCTGTTTTTACAATGATCCCAATCACCCCCCCAGTCCTGAGCAGCAGCAATTTCTAGGAACTCAACGAAGAAACCTCAAAGCTCTACAGCAAAATAGGTGGTTGACAATTTGAGAAAAGACATGATAAAGCAAGCCTCTACTCCCTGTTACAGAGCTGTTCACAACAGCCAAGCCAAGCAGCAACAAGTGTGGAAGAACACCGCAGTTGCAGAAAGCTCTGCAGTTTGTCCTCTGGCATGTTCCCCAGTGTTCACTCCAGCCTGCAACAGCAGCACACGCTTGCATACAGGGACTGAAGGAAATGCTGGGTCACAACTACCAGTACTCTTACTAGAATATCTACCAGGCAGTCAGAAGTAAAGGGTAAAGGATTTATTACTAGGCTACACAATATTGGCTCCCTTTCAGCAGCGTTCTCTGTACAAAGTAGAGGTACTGTGAGCCACATCACTCAAGCTGGTAGAAGTACACAAATTACTGCCTGAGCACAGACAAACACAGCTCACTTCTGTTGTTTTTCTCCTGCAAAAGATTGCTTGCAAGTAAATGGGTAAAAATCTAGATACCTCACTCATGAGATGCACAGAAGTAGAGAGCAGACACAGCTGAGCTCTAGGTA